CGCTGAGAGCATGAGATGGGGCCAGGATTAATAAATACAGCTGTTACCAAGCCCTTTTCCCTGCCTCAGAAATCCCTTTCTCTGGGCAAAACCATTTCATGGGGCCTAAAAGAAAATATATCTTTCAGCAGCATCTAGCAGGTGGGTGATAGCTTTGTCTCCTATGTGGTTTAGGTGACATTCATGCTGCTCTAAAAACCATTGTTTACTCAAAGTCTCTTTGGCTTTTTAAATCAGTTCTGTAGTTCAAAATTTCTGCTTTTGGATCACCTGCAGTCCAGTTATAGGGAAATCGTGGCAGATTGAATTCCATCTTAATTCATTTCTTTGAAGATATAAATATGAATCACCTGGATAATAGTGGTTAAATTTAAAAAAAATAAAAAGCTTATGACATAGGACCAAATTTTGATTTAATTTATTCTTGTTACAGTCAGAAGTAACTTCATTGAGTCAATTAAGTAACACTGGGTGCATCTACACGTGCACCTTATTGAGGAGTTGACTAGCAAGCTCCGCAGTAAAGTGTCACCATCTACACATGCACTGATATTAGGGTGTAGTAAATTAATTAACTCCACCATACGATAGTACTGTCAGGGGTAGTAGTTAACTCTGCCACAGCACAACTATAGATGATGACCAGGGCTGGTTGGGGCACAAGGGTGCTAAAGTGTGGGGGCTGCCTGCCACCTAGTCCCTCACTTTAGCACACTTGTGCCTTAGCCATCCCCTCCACTGCCCAATGCTGCCACCCAGAGCCTGGTGTTGACCCCCTGGACCTCCCGCCAGCCTGGAGCTGCTCTGCCTTGGCTCAAACTGCTGCAGCCCTGGGCACATGTGCAGATGCAAAGTGCACAAAGGTTTATCATGTTGCCTTAATGGCATGTGTAGATGCACCCACTTGTAAAAAATGGTGCAAGTGAGTGGTACAGATTGGGAGCCAAGACAAAAATCTGAAAATCCAGTTTGCTTTGCCACTATCTTTGCTGATCTTTTCCTTTCTCTTTCACTTGGCTTAGCTTAGTAATAGAAACTACGCTTGCCTTGCTCGCATTCTGCTTCTAGTCACTTGCACTTTCTGGCTTGTCTTTACTAGCATTATGCTGCTGTGTTTGTATTTTCAATAATTCCAAGGGAATATTTAACCCTGGGGATAGTTGAAGGAGTTTCCTCTGCCTTAGATAAAAATACTAAAATATTTCTGTTCAAATTGAGGCAAATTTTGTAAAGCAGAACCTAGGTATATGTTCAGTTTTTCTCACACTCCTCAGTTAGAATTATGGAGCGCATGTGAAGATGCCCTAAATTTGGGGTGGGAACGCTTGAATTAGAGCAGCTCTTGGGAGCCTCTAATGATATCAAGTGCCCAGAGCTCTCATGTATTCAGTGTCCCATGATTCAAAATAGCGGCTGGGGCATTTTAACTACAGCTCATTCAGTGCACTTCAGTTAAAGCACCCTCGCCACCATTTTGGAGTATGGGGATGCTGAATACCTGTGAGGCCAAGATTGCCAGTGTGCTAATTAGCATGCTTCAGCAGACTCAGTCAAGTCTGCCCCAACATGTGCTAATTGGCATGCATCAGAGCAGGTGTCAGGCATGTGTATAGATGCCCCTAGAGTAGTACAAGTGAGGCAAGTAGCTAGCTGTTGGATTTCCTTGATAGATGCAAACTATTATGCCCAAATATATGTCTCTGCATAATTGTGCATGAAGTTTTAGAGTCTAATTGAGGCTCCTCCTTTTCCATTTTCTGCTACAGAACATACTGTAACTTCGGATTCTAAACTAGTTTGATGTTGCGCATATGATGCAGTTTGTAGTTCACAAGAAAATTCTTCCACCAACCACAACAGAGAAGACTAGCCACAAAACTGACAGCACTCTCCACTTACAACACAATTTCCCATCCCTCTTTCCCAGTTACAGTCATGTTTTCTATAATTCTCTCATTGTTAAATTATTTCACAATGTGGACATGTGACCATTCTGTCATTAGGGGAGGCACAAGGAGTGGTGTTCCTGGCCTCATGTAGGAGTGAGAAGTGAAGGGCTCTTGGCTGCCTGCAGCTTTCGGAAAGGGGTTTTCTGTAATTACCTTCTGCTGCAAAGGCAGGATTATTTGTGTTTGTTTCATTTGGATGTAGGCCTTCTCCACTCTCCAACAAAATACCTCTAAGCACCCTCCTGCTGTCCATTCGCCTCTCCCCAACTGTGGCTCAGAGGAGAAATTAAGCTGCTGTAAAAAATGGGGACCTTTCAAAGGAATGTTTATGGGCCAAGAAAAGATGATCATATGGGCTGTTGCCCAAGGAAACACAAATCAGACCCTGAATCTCACCCCAGGAATCTGCCATCAAGATTCCACAATGCCTTTTTAGGATTGCTGTTTGTTTTTTTGAAGAGAGGATCATATATGGCTTGGCTCAAGTGTTTCAATTTATGTTTCTGGCTGTCGGGAGATTCTGGCAAAAGATAAAACATTGTCAGCTCGTTTTCCATCAGTAGCGCTCTGTCATTCCATTAGGGCAGGAAATAGCTCGCTCTGTTACTGAGTGAATTTGACTTTAGCGTGGATCAGAGAACGGACCCATAGAGTTAAATACAGCTCCCTGTGCCAGCTGTGTAGCAAAAGACAGCCATGGCTCTTGGCCAAATGACCACCCTCAGGATTTGATACGTGTTGGCACCACGTGGTTCACAGAAGTCGGCATCACAAGAATATTTACCAGGGGATGAGGGAAGGAAGGACAGAGGAATTTAAAAGAAGATCCAACAAAAGGAGGATTTTATGTATATTTTTTTTATATAATACGATATATAAATTGAAAAAGAGTAGGTTTTTTTTTGCTGTAATGGGCCATTAGTGTAGGTGCTCAGATTCTTCAGTGGAGGGGTACAATATAAGAACCTTGATAGACATGGGGGCCGGATTCGGTTTCTCTTAGTGCACCCCAATGGCAGCTTTCTAACTGTGGAGGTAGCATTTTTGCACTTACACACAGGTAGAAATTCAACTTTACCTATAGTGTGGACTTGTTAATGCGCATATGTGTGCTGAGCATGTACAGCTCCCTATGCACTGACCAAGCTGGTTCGTATGTACACCTGCTGCTGATGCTTAACTGTGGATAAGTCATGAAAATGTAGCCAGCTAGAACCCAATAAATGGGTGCTAGAGGAGTCCCCTCTCCTGTTTTAGCTCAACTACCTCAGTGGGCAGGCCACTTGCAGGAAGCGAGAGACTCGGGTTTTAGGCCTCTCTTCCCAGCACTGTTCTCTAACCGCCATGCCATAGGTTAGGCATTATCCAGTCACCTCTCCAGTGCTCCTTTTGAAGCTGGCCCCCTGGACAGCCAGAAAGAAGATATGTGGGTTCAGGCAGAAGCAAGTAAGCCATAGGGTATGTAGCTCTGCACAATGGATTCTGGCTTAGAAGGAAGCAGGCCCTGGGTTTTAGCCTGGAGCCCTGCTCCCAATGGCACAGAAACCACTCCACTGCACTGCTCTTCATCCATTGTATCCAATGATTATTAAATGTAAGGGGTAGTGGCTCAGCTTCAAAGGAAGGACTGGAGAAAGGACCATGGCAAATACCTAACCTGAGGCATGGTGTTTTGAGCACTGTTCTGGTTCAAATCTCCTCTGGACAAAGGAGGCCAGAGCCTAGAACCAACGTCTCCTGCTTCCTGGGCAAGTATCTTTAACCACTCAACTACCGGGGAGAAAACATGGGAGGGTCCCTCTCCATTGCATCCATGCTTTTTCCTTGACTTACACATCTACATATTCACATACCTAAATTTATGTACATGGCCATTGCAGAGCCTACTAAGCATGCTCAGTGACGCTTTCACATCCACAGTACAGACAGGGCCAAAAATGGCCAGGTATGTGGCTAGAAAAGTGCTTTTTAGGGACACAAAGGGAAATAGAACTCCTCTGAATTAAAGCAAATACAAGAAGAGCCCAGCCTGCAAACTGTATTTCTCCCTGTGCTCATCGCCCATTGTTCAGTAAAACCTCACAACACCCTTGCTGAATAAGGTGGGAGTTACGATCCCTGTTTTGCAACAAGAGATGCTAAAGCAGAAATGGGAACAAGCCAAAAATCCCAGATGTTGTGGCTTGATTTCCAGAGATGCTGAGCATGTGCAGGTCTTGGTGGAGTGATGAGCTTGATTTTCAAAATCTGCTGAATGCTAATAAATCCAGTTGACCTCAGTGAGACCTGTAGGTGCTCAACACCTCTGAAAATCAAGCTACTTATTTAAATATGAGCTTGGATGCCTACTTTAGGCTTCTGGACTGTACAACAAATCAGCAGCAGAGCTGGGAGAATAGATTGGGAGCATTCTGCCCTTTTGGCAAGGTGCTTGAACTTGAACATTTGAAAATGCTCACTAGCTCCGAGTGGTACACTATTTTGTGCGTTCAGCTTGAGATGCCTATGCCCAATTGTGAGTGGTGATCAGTACTGTCAACTGCAGCTGACTTAAAGAAAAGATTCAGGCCCTCAACTCCTCTGAAATTCAGGCTGTGGATATCTCAAATGGGATGCACAAAATTAGTGCCTCAACCTATCCATCTTCAAATGGGGGCAGAGATGCCCATCTATTGGTATGTTGAAGCAGCATGTTTCTTTTTTACACGTGTTGTGGTGAGCATTCCAGATTAGACACTTGAACAATGTCTTCTGAGGGCTTCCTGGCAAATATAATTTCCCAGGGTAATCTGAGAATTTAAGGTTATCCTATGTGGCCATGCAATGTGCTGTTACCAATCCATAGGACCAGACCCAACCTCATCTGGACTCAGCTTCATGGCCAGTGGTTTTGCTTTCCTGGTGTCCAGCCAGTAAGCACCTCTGAATGACTGGGTAGAATATTTCTTACCAGTGACTCCTGGCTTGCCCAGTAGCCTCAATTTTCTCTGAACTTTCAAGCATCCACAGCTTTTGTAGTCACCTCTCTGTGCTATTTTTTCCCCCAAACAGATGCAGACTTTATATGCTTTTGATGACGAAGAAACAGAAATGAAGAATAAAATAGTTGAAGACTTGAAAACAGCTCTGCGGACTCAACCCATGAGGTAATTTTTGTTCAGTTCCTTTCTTTTACCAGCCCCCACAAGACCAGATGTGATGCAGGAAATGGTGTCAGTGAGTTCAGTAGTGCCTGGGAAGACACCCGATCATTTCCTCCTCAAGGACAGGAAGCATTTCCATAGTTTGTGCATGCCATTGGGGATCCTACCTCTCTCACTTTTACACTCTTGAACCAGGTGACATGAGGATTTAAGCACATAACTCTGGAGAACACAAGGCAATTTGTTGTTAATATTCTGTGGACAGTTTTTGGAGAGAGATGTTAGCTGGGTTAGTCTGAAGTCAAGTGGACGGTAGGGTAGATTTGGAGGGTTGTCTTAAATTTGCTGCTCTCCTCGCGCCGTGCCTCAGGGCAGGCATCGAGAGTCAAGTGGCTTGTGTGCGGGCCGGGAGTGACCCGAGCCCTTTTCCGCGCTGCACGCGGGCTGTGGCCAGCAGCCCGGGCACGCTGGGTCGGAGAGGGAAGGCTGTCGAGCTGGAATTAGGCACAAATGCATATCGGTAGTTTAAAAGATTGTTTACTTACACCGAGATGGCAGTGGTGTAGGCTGGAAAGCTTGCTTGAGTTGCGGTTACAGACAGAAAAGAAAACAAAACTCGAACCTGCAGGGCACGAGGGTACGTCGCAAAGGGTTCCGGCGACGGGAAGATGAAAAATACGAGGGTACGTCGCAACGGGTTTCGGCGATGGGAAAATAAACCTGCAGGACTCGAACCTGGGTAGAAGAGCTCTGAGGTCGTCCGGCAAGGACTCACACGAAGGTTGCTAGGCTCCGTGGGTCCGGTTCTTTTGCGTGCGGGAAGGGATACGTCTGGACTGCGATTGGCGACGGGGAGAGGCTAGAGGTTGATCAGACCTCTGTTGCCTGCTTGAAATGCGTTGGGTCCGTAAGGATCCACAGCGCTTAGAGATCTTCACACAGCGTGAAGTCTCTTCCTCCCGGTGTTCGTGGAGTCCTCCAACTGGGGCGGAAACCACTCAAGCCTTTTATACGGCTAGCAAGCCAATCACTAGCCGCCACGTGTGAATAATTTAGAACTGGCCAATAATGGGACTCGAATTAGCATACAAATGGCGGGAACTCTTTGCAATGAGCATTTCTGTGTTGCAACAAAGAAATGCACCCTGCAAAGAAAGCTTCAAATTGGCGGGAAATTCTCCCTTGCACTGGGGTTCTCTTTTGCAGCAGAAAACTCCACCGTGCAAAGAAGCTGCAATTTAGCGGGAACAATTTAGCAGTGCCGAAGCACCCAAAACCAAAAATCACACCCTTTGGGTTGTGACAGCTTGAAGCTCCTGGCCCTTGCCACCTGTCCCCCACCCCCTACTACCCCCCTGCTACCTACCACTCCCATGGTATCCGCACCCCACCCCACCTGCACCTTGTTCCCTGCCACCTGCCGTCCTACCCACCAGACCTCACTGGTGCATGCCCTCTCATCCCCACCTCTGCTTTGCCTCTCCTCCTTCCTGCTCCCCATACCTGTTTCCTGCCCCTGCTTCCATGCTTGGTCCTTGTTGCAGCTGGACCCCCTCTATGCCTCCCTTCTCCCCACATTGTTGCTGCCATCACTACTTAACTCCCTGTCGCAGCTCTGGCTGGGGCTCCTCTCTGGTCTGGGAAGGAAGCATGTGCTGCCTCAAGCTCCAGCACAGCCACATAGCAGCTGTTGTGTCATAGCAGCTCCAGCCCTGGCCCTGGAGCTGGGCCAGAGCTGCCACCATTGCTGCATGGCTAGCCTGGGACTGGAGACAATGGCACATGCTCTCTACTCCTTGCTTCAGGCGGGAGTGGGGCCCCAGTCAGAGCTGAACCTGTGACAGGGAGGTAAGTGGTGGCTGGCAGGGGGGGAGTGGAGGCAGGATGGGGCAGCAGAGAGCAAAGGTTAGAAGCAGAGGCTGCAGGGAGAAGGTGGCAGGGGAGGGCAGGTGCTGCAGCTTGGACTCCAAGACTAGCCTTGGGGCTGGAGTTAGAGCTGGAGCTTAAACCACTGCCCCCTCCTCACTTATACTCAAATCCAAGACCAGGGACTTTTCCCCCCATGCTGAAAAGCGAAGAAAAACCTCATCTTGGAATCAAATAAATACAGTAAATGTGTTTACCTCAAAACCATGCAGAAGTTAAGAGATTTTTCAGTCCATAACTAAAGTTAAGAGAGCATCAGTCCATAATTTTTTTTTATTATTATTTTTTTTTAAAGCAGTTTCATGGAAAGTTTTGAAGCCATAAATTCTAAGTGATTTCAAGATGGCTGGGAACTCATAGAATGAAATAAGGAAGAAGGTATTTCTTTTTGAGAATTCCTGCTAAGCCCAGTGACTAAGATGCTCACACTTCTGTTCTTTGTGTATTGTTTCTTCTGGGGATGAATGACAGGAATATATGGAATCAGTAAAAGAACAAGATTAGTAGAGTTACACCAGGACTAATATTGGCCCAGAGGGTTCCACATAACGTCATGAAGCCAGTTGGGAATGGGGATTTAGATAGAGGTAGCCTTTTCTCTTTATGTGCAAAATTGCATAGCTAGATGGGTGGTGTGTGTGTGTTTGTGTGGGCCTCTTCCTCAGAGGCATCCGGTATTAGCTCCCATAGGACTTCAAGCAGTCCTTAATGTACTGATTAAATGTTAGTTTAACGTAGGCTAGGTTGTTTGAACTTTAACAGGAGGCAAGTCTTTCCCTGTATTAGCTTTTTTTTTTTCCTCTGTCCTGATAAATGATATTCCACTTTCAGTTTCTGAAAATGTGACCCTCTAAGACAGGGGCGTCCAAACTTTTTGAATGTGGGGCCGGATCACGAACTTTTTATCACCCAGTGGGCCAGCGAGCC